TCCATTTAGGAAGCCTGAGTCCATTAGTGAACTCCACTAATAGGTCATGAAAATTAATAGCTAGTAAATATATTATTAGCGTTTTTTGAATCTTCCTAATGGGAAAATCAACTATTTCAAAAGTAGCAAGAGTCACATTTGGCACCAGGACATTACTCAATGCTTAGTGTCTGCTCTTTCTTCTGACTTCTTGTGAAATAATTAGAGAAGTTCAAACAGAAATATGTGAGCCATCATGATTTTTTTTTTTTTGTATTGTAAACCATCATTATTTTCTTACTTACATTATGTATTCAATACTAATTTTCTATCTATGGCATAGTAAATTTATGGCTATGTAAATATGTTAATATTTCTCCATCTAGAAAATGAATGATTTTTATATGTTTTGTTTGTGAAATATTAACTGCAAAAATTCATTAAGTATAATGATAAGACTCATTACATAGTATCTTTCATCCTGAAGATTATTAGAAGGCTTTACAAACTAAAAGAAAAATAACCAAAAAAAAAAAAATCCCAAAGCTAATAGAACCACCATCCGTCACTGAAATAGAGCTATGCAGTTGTTTGCTTAGCCTATTTGAAGTCTTACCTCTCAGTGAAAAAAAAAAAATATCAAGCTTAAACTACTAAAAAATTACCAAATATTTTTTTCCTAATAATTAATATGATTTCCTGATTGTCTTTCAATTAATGTGTTTTACCTAGTTTGGGTTTTCAGGAATGGAATTAGTTGGAAGAAGGAGAAAATATTGATGGGTATTAGGATTTGGAAATAGGACCGGGGATCTACGTTAGCCAGGACTCTCTAGTAGGATACATAGAGATGTGTAAGAGGAGATCCAATATGGGAATTGACCCCCTGGGGTCATGGAGGCTGAGAACGCCTTGATCTGCCATTTGCAAGATGGAGACCCAGGAAAGTGGGTGACTTAATTCATTCTGAGACCAAAGACCCGAGAAACAGGGAAGCTGCTGGTGTCAGTCCCCAAGTCCAAAGGCTCAAGAACAAGGGGCTCCGACGTCTGAGGGTAGGAGGAGATGGACGTCCCAGCAGAAAGTCAGGCGGACAACACTCCCAGCCTTCCTGTGTCTTTTTCTTCTATTGGGGTTCTCAGACAATTGGTGAGGGTGGTTCTTTTTCACTCTGTCAACTGATGCAAATGCTAATTTCTTCCCATAAAACTCTGGCATGCACACCAAAAAATAATGTTTTATCAGCTATTTGGGCATTCCTTAGCCCAGTCAAGTATTCATGAAAATTAAACATCCCACGGTCCACTCTGGGCACCCCAATATTTTTTCCAAAGTTTTTTTGTTTGTTTGTTTGTTTTGCTGTATGCAGGCCTCTCACTGTTGTGGCCTCTCCCGTTGCAGAGCACAGGCTCCGGACACGCAGGCTCAGCGGCCACAGCTCACGGGCCCAGCTGCTCTGCGGCATGTGGGATCCTCCCGAACCGGGACACAAACCCGTGTCCCCTGCATTGGCAGGCGGACTCTCAACCACTGTGCCACCAGGGAAGCCCTCCAAAGGTTTTTGATTGGCTTTTCCTATTAAATAAAGTGCTGTGGTCGATGGTTGTCAGCATAGTGAATAATCACAATCACCCAGGCACACATCCTTCAGCAGTTCGGTAAGTCATTCATCACCCTCTCAGTTATAAACCAAACTCCACCCTCTCTTTTCCCTGGGGGTTTAACTCTATGTAATAAAAGAGAGACATGGTATTCCTCAGCTCATTCATTCATTCCACAAATGCTTGTTAAGAACTTCAAAGTCACAAGGGCAACAAAAAATATAACAGCCATAGAAAGTGTAAAAGAAGTAACACAGGGCTTCCCTGGTGGCGCAGTGGTTGAGAGTCCACCTGCCAATTCAGGGGACACGGGTTCGTGCCCCGGTTCGGGAGGATCCCACATGCCGCGGAGCGGCTGGGCCCGTGAGCTGTGGCCGCTGAGCCTGCGCGTCCGGAGCCTGTGCTCCGCAACGGGAGAGGCCACAACAGTGAGAAGCCCACGTACCGCAAAAAAAAAAAAAAGAAGTAACACAGTCACAAGAGCTCGATTACTGATTAGGGCATGGGGACTGGTGGAGTGCCCTAACGCACAGGCTCTTGACCTGAGAAGTCAGAGAGTTAGATGCTGGTCCTGACCCCTTGATTACCTGTGCTGCCTGGTTGTTTCTGGGAGCGTGTTTTAGGACACGACAAACATTTAAATTGTTGACTTTTCTTTAAGGAGATTGCTCTCCACAATATGGGTGGGTTTTATCTAATTAGGTAAAAGCCTTGAGAAAACAAAAAGATGGTTTACCCCCACGTGAGGGGAGTTCTGCCCCAGAGCGTCCTCAGGCTTCAGCTGCAGCCTAGCTCTTCGCTGTCTCCAGCCTGCTGGTCTAACCCCTCAGGTGTTTTTGGACTTGCCAAGACCCCACAACGACCTGAACCGATACCTCAGGATACATTTCTTTATACACACACATTCCATTCGTTCTGTTTCTCTGGAGAATCCTGACTAATGCACCTTCTAATCCAGATGCTTGGTAAGAGTAACTCTGTAAGGGAAATTTGATAAAGGCCAAAGCAGTACTAAGATGCATCCACGGCATCCCTGTAATTCTTTGAGGTGTCCAGTTTGTTACTCTCCCAGACCACTGTCTGGGCCAGCTGAGCAACTTCCTCTGGCACAGCTTCCACACAGGAACCACCTCTGGCCAGGCTGAGTCCTGGAAGGGCTCTGACTGTCACTCAGTGGGTTTCCCGGGCCTGGACACTTTTTCAGGTGCTTTCTACTTTCAGAGTTCCCACCAACCTTGGACTTGAGCATGAACCATCTGTCCTTGGTTCTTCTTTAGCCACCTTCCTCCCTGGTTCAGGTCTGGTCTAGCCAATGGGTAGCAGCCTCCCATTGCAACTAAACTTGGTTTCCATTCTTCTTTCTCTCTGAAGTATACAAACCCCACCGCTCAGCATTGAATTAGCACGATAAGTCATTCAAGTGTACAGTACCATATCCTCCTGTTCTTCCCATCGCATTTATGTATCTCCATCAGCGTTTCAACTCTGTGAAGTCTTTCATCAACAGTCTCCTGTAACCGGGAGATAATCATTCCCCTTACATTACACAGGGGCTAGTTGCTTGTTTTTTCTTTTAATTTTTAAATCTGTTCCCTGCAATTATGTGGGAAATGTCCTGTTTTTGTTTTATCCTTTGTTATCTCTTGCAGAACACCTCCACCTTCTGTTTTATTTTGTATGTTAAAACATACAACAAACCGTAGGTCCCAACCTGGATTTTGTTCCTTTTCTTCTCTCTCCTTTGGTACCCAGTCCCAAGGCTTTGTATCTTTGGAGGCCAGTTTTAGTGCCAGTTAATTTACGTCAGCAGGCCTCACAGAGCTCTGCAAATGTTAGTGAAGCAAGTGAACACCCTTATGAAGGGAGGATTTTGGTCCTCACGTCACAGGTAAAAATCCAAACCCACAAAGTCTGAGTGACATTGACACCTGCCCACCATTTGAGAACCGCCATCGTTCTCATTGCTGTGCATCACTTTCCAGAAGACAAAACGGACTGAGAGGTTAGGACAGTGTTGAACTATGTAAATACTCAGTCTGCTCATTATTAACAGGCCTATAAGGTTTCCCATTTTTCTTTTTTTCTTTTTTTTTGTTAGAGAAGATATTCGCCATGTGTTTCTTCTTTAGGTCTTTTTTTTTTTTTAATTTACTTATTTATTTTTATATTTATTTTTGGCTGTGTTGGGTCTTCATTTCTGTGTGAGGGCTTCCTCCACTTGTGGCAAGCGGGGGCCACTCTTCGTCGCGGTGCACGGGCCTCTCACTATCTCGGCTTCTCTTGTTGTGGAGCACAGGCTCCAGACGCGCAGGCTCAGTAGTTGTGGCTCACGGGCTTAGTTGCTCTGTGGCACGTGGGATCCTCCCAGACCAGGGCTCGAACCCGTGTCCCCTGCGTTGGCAGGCAGGTTTTCTTTATTTTCTCACCACACGCCTCATAGTCACTCAATGAGCAAGCGATGAAAAATCAAGGTGTGGCAAGACAAGGGTGTGTTTAGTCTCCTTATTTGGTCCTCAGACACTGACTTGGGGCAAAGTAAGTTTTGTTTTGTGTGATTCTCTCTCTGATTTAGGGCCATGGGTCTCAGAAGCTGGTCTGCGGCCCCTCAGCCTTGGAATCAGCTGGATACAGTGATTAAAAATATAGTTTCTAGGTCTCATTTCAAGAACACTGAATGGATATTTTGGGCAGTGGGCCCAGAAGTCTGTAATTTTGATTGTGTGACTTTGACATTTGTTTGGAATGTTTGAAAATCAGGTTTGTGTTTCATAAAACGTTATGTTATCTGTATTAGTGCTATAATATGTTTATGTTTCCGCAGTTAAAGAAGTTTGTCAACTGAAATAACAATAAAAATGTTTTAAAGAATTATATCAAACTTGAATTTGACTAATTATTAGAGAAATGCAAATCAAAACTACGATGAGGTATCACCTCATACTGGTCAGAATGGCTGTTATCAAATACTCTACAAATAATAAATGCTGGAGAGGGTGTGGAGAAAAGGGAACCCTCCTACACTGTTGATGCTAATGTAAATTGGTACAGCTGCTATGGAGAACAGTATGGAGGTTCCTTAAAAAACTAAAAATAGAGCTACCATATAATCCAGCAATCCCACTCCTGGGCATATATGAGGAAAAGACAAAATATCTTATTCAAAAAGATACATGTACCCCAATGTTCACAGCAGCACTATTTACAATAGCCAAGACATGGAAGCAACCTGTGTCCAGCGACAGGTGAATGGATAAAGAAGATGTGGTACATATATACAATGGAATATTACTCAGCCATAAAAAGGAACAAAATAATGCCATTTGCAGCAACAGGGATGGACCTAGAGATTATCATACTAAGTGAAGTAAAACTTAGTATGAGATACAGAAAGACAAGTATCATATGATATCACATGTGGAATCTAAAAAACTGATACAAATGAACTTATTGACAAAATAGAAATAGACTCACAGACATAGAAAACAAACTTATGGTTACCAAAGAGGAAAAGAGGGGAAGGGACAAATTGGGAATTGGGGATTAACAGACACTCACTACTAGATATAAAATAAATAAACAACAAAGACCTACTACATATCAGTGGGGACTCTACTCAATACACTGTAATAACCTATAATGGAAAATAATCTAAAAAAGTACATATATATATCTGAATCACTCTGCTGTACACCTGAAACTAACACAACATTGTAAATCAACTATACTTCAATTTAAAAAAAGACAAAAAACAAAAAAAACTTGAGTTTGGGGATTGACTAATCTGTAAACTATTTGCTTCTCCCCTTCCCCATTATGAAGTGCAACACAGACCATCCCCCAAACAACAGAACAAAACACCGAGCTGAGGGCCCTTTAGTTTGGACCATTGGGTGTTTAAAGTGTCAGGTAGGGCTTGTTTCTCTAGCTTCCAAGGGTCACAGATTATCTAGCTGGATTCCTTATTCCTTCCTTTATAGGACCTGCAGGTTCTGAAAGCGTGAGTCTATACCAATGCCTCCAAACAGGCCCTCTGAGGGTAAATAAATAGTGGCTGTTTGTATTATTTGTTAGACCCAAAGGGAACCTCAAATATGATCTAGTTCATTCACCAGTTTATGTGTGAAGAAACAGAGAAGCAAAGCAACTTACCTAAGACTGCACAGCTGAACTGGGGACTGGACAGAACTGGAAGCCAGTTCCCTGCTTCTTCATCCAGTGACCCTAGTAGTAGAGCATGCCATCTCTTCTCTATTCCAGAACAGAAGCCTCTAATCTTGTCACATCCTACAATCCTAGCTGTTAAATTTTTTGAGCATCACCCCCAATATATGTATTATTTCCAAATTATATATGTGTGCCACTGTCAGTCCAATCAGTAAATGCTATGAAAGGATAACCTCTTCATTTTTGTAAGCTAGAAATTAATATAAATAAAGCATGACTATTTTTCCCCATCATCCCTCAGAGGATGCCGCGCGATTCCAAGGATGCTAAGCAACCACTCTTGGAGACCACTGCATCAGGACCAGAACACAACTTCTCAAGGCAAAGTGGCACATGCAGTCCTTCAAGAGCTCGCACGAGTGATTTCTAACTGATCATGGCTGGCCTACTAGAGTTTGGAGACCATGGGACTATTTAAAAAATACAGTATAACAAAGAATCATTTCTAACTCTTATTCTTTGCCTTCTTATGTGATTCTTTGACAAACACAAAGCTGAGAACTGCTTTTTACGTGTAGCCCGTGTCACCCACGGAGCAATCCAAGGTGACCACCGGTTCCCAGCACGGCCCTGCTAGTTGGCTAATTATGAATTACTGTGATAACAATGAGATTTAGTCTCACTATTTAAATGGCTTCTCTACTGTGCTTTTAAGAGGTCTCATCTATTACACGTGGGAATGACGTCCTTCAAGTGTGTCGTAGCAGGAAGCTCTGGCTGAGAGCACAGCTCCAGAAGGCCTCTCCCGAAATATCAGTAAACTGCCCTACGTCATCTTCTCCGTGAAGGAGAACAGGGAGAAAGTCACGGTGGCCAATCTCCTTTCTCCCCTAGAGCTGAGCAGGCTTCTGTTCTGACACCTGCTGACTCACACAGGGGACTCTTCTCCACTCACAAGGGTTTGCCACCCGCCATGTTCCCCCCAGAACCCTGGCACAGAGCTTTCCAATCCAGCTTTCACTTCTGAGTTGTTCCTTCAGCCCACATTTTAGTAAGCTTCCTTCAGGCTTCAGTGCCAGGGTCTGGGGACACGGGCCCCAACAAGGCAGAAGGGTCCCTGTCTTAGCAGGATGACAGCCTGAGGCAGTCCCTGTGATTTACTGAGCTTTCTCTGAGCCTACGACCCCATTTAGTCCTGACAACCACGTGTACGCTTGAGCTCAGCTGTAGCACCCAGACGAAAGGGAAGCACAGGACGCTTTGGTACCCGCTCCAGGGATGCACAGCGGAAAGACTGGAAACTGGGCTCTCCAGGCTGCACAGCGGGGGCTCCTGTGGACGCGCTTAGTCCCTTCCACCCCCGGTTCTACTTTGAAGGGGGGTGAGCATGTGGAACTTACCTTCCAGATGGAACATTGAGGGAAAGGGCTGCAGACGCTTGGCCAGGCCCTTCACCCCGGACCAACTCTTCACTTCAAGGACCTTTCTCTAGATGTTTCTCCAACAACTAAAATATTAAATGTCCCCAAGAGTGTCCCTGATCTCCCTCTTTCCACTTCCATTAAAGTCACACCAACCAAGCGAAAAATCAGATTTACAGACTCTACCATTTCTTTTTTCCTGGCTCCTTTTTCTTTCCCTTAATCCAAACGCAACAAAGTTCCTTTGATTCCTCTCACTCGTGTCCATCCTCCAGCTCCCTCCCCCTCGGAGGTCACCTCCACTCCGCTAGCTGCTCCCCCTCAACTCAGGGTCCCTGGCCGCTGCGGCATCCCCGGGTCGTCGCCAGCTTTGCAGAGGTGACTGGCCATCTTGTCCGCCCAGCATCCTTCACCCCGAGGTCTCTCCTGTGCACCTTGCTTTGCTTCTGGCTACACTTACTCGGAAAGGCTTTCTCTCTACCCCTCACCCAAGCCCCTCAGCTCCTGTGAGACGCAGCCCAAAGGCCCTTCTTAACGAGTGTTTGCAGCCAGTGTCGTCTGTTCACGTCTCTGGATTATACAGACTTGGACTGAAAGGCAGGCTCGTAGCCGCTTCTTCCCAGGCCTCTCCTCTTGGTCTCACGGCAGTGTTCTATTTTGCCTCTGGCTTGTGTGCTCCCCCGAAGCAAAAGCCCTTTATTTGCACTAACTTCTGCTAGCTCTTGGACCAAAAGTACTTTTTTTTTTTTTTGCGGTACGCGGGCCTCTCACTGACGTGGCCTCTCCCGTTGCGGAGCACAGTCTCCGGACGCGCAGGCTCAGTGGCCACGGCTCACGGGACCAGCCGCTCCGCGGCATGGGGGATCTTCCCGGACCGGGGCACGAACCCGCGTGCCCTGCATCGGCAGGCGGACTCTCAACCACTGCGCCACCAGGGAAGCCCCCAAACTACTTTTTGATTTATAAAACACTAGCAAGTGAAAAGGGTTTAGGCAAAAGTGATTCTTCTAGAACATTCTGGTCTGATTTAAAATGATGTTGAGTATAGAAATATTTAAGACAAGATTTCATACTTCCCAGCTTTATTAAATAGGTCATAAATGGACGCAATTTAAACATTTTTTAATGACTCAGCAACACTGTGATAAACACTGATTTTTGTAATGTGATAGAACAGTGACACACTCAGAATCACCTGAGTCAAGCTGTTTAACCTCACACAAAATGACCCCAGAGTTTTGAGCTATTTGTTTTTTATAGTTTCCTTATTAATCTGTCTTCTCCTTCTCTCCCTCCCCCTCCCCCCTCCTTATCCCCCTCCCTCACCGCTGCTTCTTTAGGTCCTGCATTCACTCCTCTAAACTTGTGGCTTTTGACATTCTATGAGTTAGAAAATCAAAAATTTACCTATGAGGGACAAAGTAGGAATGAATAGTATTTGAGGACCCCTTTTCTGAGATGCCATCAACTAAGTCAAATGAACCCTAATCTAATGTGACAGTGAGGAAGATTGTGCCTGAGGGACCAGGCACCTAGAAGAGCTGTTTCCTGGCAAATGGGTCACTACACACTTGAGAGATGAAGATGAATGAGGGACATTGTGTCATCCTGAAGCTCTACAAATGTGAGGCAGTTCTCAAACACATCTTTGATATAAATGTTTCTTAAAAATGAATCTAAACTTTTGGTGGGTAAATCCAATGTCCTGTATGACTGTGGAAATGCTTGACATTTCTGTCTTTCCCTCGTTACCATTTTTTAAAACTTTTTTTCCCACTTTTATGCATTTTACTAAACTCTATTTTCCAATGTTTAACACACTATCCTCATTCTTTGGCTATTTAAGCTGTTTTTAGTTGTTCTCCCTGGGTTAAAAGAAACACAGATCTACTCAAATAATGCCAAGGAAATGGGGTCCAGTGCGGTTTGGGTTTGGCCACATTTAGGATAAAATCTGAGGAACAGCCTCTCACTCCAGCATGAGCTGTGGTTGGCAATGATTGGCTGCTGGTCAAGGACTCCGGAATTCCTTTCCCCTCTGCTTCAGGCTCACACCTGTGGCTCCAGCCATCACGTCTATATCCCAAATGCAAGGAAGGAGCATTTGCAGAGGGGCACGTGTCCACTCTTCCCTGCAGAGGCGTTTTCCTGGAGGTCTCACTGAGCAAGGCTGACTAACAGCTCCCTGCTCAGGACCGTGTCACAGGTCACCTCTCTGCAAGGGAAGCCACCTTTCTGACTGGTCATATTGTGATTCAGGCCAAAGTGAGTTTTTTAGGAAAGAAAAAATGGCCAAACAACTATTGGGTAGGCTGCCAGTGGCTGCTGATTTACTTGGTAAACCCCACTGAACTGGGGCCAGAAAGCCACCAGGGATCCCCCCTCCACGGACACTGGGATTCCCTCGTTCAGGAGTTCCAAGATTCTCCCTCATGATTTCTCTGCTTCCCATTTCTGTTTCCCAGGTTTTCCATTTGTTTTTGACCTCCTTTCAGCCTGTAATACCTACTCCAGCTCTAAGAGCCCCTCACGACCTCCCTACCCAAATCCTGCAGAGAACTAGGCCAATCTGTATGTTTTTCAAGTCCAAATCTGGGAAGGAGGAGTCTGATTATTAGTTCAGCTTAGCTCTTCATAGAGACCAAATGAATTCCGGGTTCGAAGCATGCCTGTCATCCATGAGCCATCCTTTTTTTTGTTGGTTTTATTTGTTTGTTTTTGGGCCACACCGCCATGTGGCTTGTGGGATCTTAGTTCCCTGACCAGGGATCAAACCTGGGCCCTCGGCAGTGGAAGTGGAGTCCTAACCATTGGACCGCCAGGGAAGTCCCCATGAACTGTCCTTTAGTTTGGGGGCCACTAGGCCTAATTAGCCCCAGTCAGGGGCACCAGGCAGAACGCAGTCCTTTAGTCCAGCTGAAAAAGGGAGTATGCTAAACCTGGCAGAATGGGCCACAAATGATTGGCACCTATGGTATGCAAACTCAAGCTAAGTACACTGGTGATTATTTCACAGAAAGAGAAATCGAAAGGGTCAATCTTATCGCTCCTAATTTTTTTCAGATCTACTCAATGTGCTACCTATGATGATGAGATCCATCTTTCTGTCTGATCATAGAAGAAACAGTCTGTAGCTCTGCAATTCAGTCCTAGCAGAGGACAAAACAGAAAGTGGTAGAGAGCTCTCCTGCCGTGGCCTTCTTCCATGCCACTACTCTCAAAAGATCAAAGTGCGTCCCATTTTTAATGAAGTCATATGTGCTTTACCCAGTGTCAAAATCAGGATTTTGTCACCAGCTACACATATCGTAAAAGTAGTTACTTTCAGGTAGAACCAGTCTATCTTCCAACAAGAATATTATCATCCATCCTTTTGTCCAGGTATACTATTTTCACTGCCCTTTATAGATAAGCCAGCACTGGGGTAGGGTACATCACCTCTTCCTTTCACTCCCAGATTTCCTGGGAGAAAAGCAAAGTCAAACTTTTCACATTTTATGTTTTCTTACCAGTGATATTTTAGCCATAGATGTCTCTTCAATAAATTTAACCACTGAATTAAAAAAAAAAATGTTTTTCTGCTTTTCTGAAGCCCACATCATTGAAAGGCAAGGAGTGTAACAAACAGCACAGGGAGTCCCAATGAGGAGTTTGAAACACATTCAGGGTCCTTTAGTGTTAATTGCAAGGAATGTTTTATGCCAGGTGTAATTTACTCAGGGTCTATTTTTTGTTTCTTTTAAAATATAAATCAAAATAAAATTCTACTGAAGTGAAAGACATCCTAAGATATTCATGAATGAAGCAAAAACATCGACTATATTATATCGATATAATGTGTTGCCATAGATAGATAGCTCTGTTACTCGTCCTTTGGTTCATAGTGAAAATTCGTACAACTAAGAGCCTATGGGTGGTTGTGTTAATTGTGCGCCTGGAGATTTGTTACAACACAAACGTTTCTACAAAAGCAAATTTAATATACAACAAACACTCACCATGTAAACACATCGTTTTAAAAATCTGATAATAATTCCAAGGATCACTTACAGGCTTCCATAAAAGTATTTTATATCAAGAATCTCAATACAGAACGATTTCTATGTCAAAATACATTTACACTGTAAATTGTTATAGAAAAAAAAAAAAAGACACAGAGAAATGGAGTTCGCTGGTATTGAATTCAACAGCAGCAACTGCCCCTGATATTTTTCCTTCATTTTCTACTTCAAGCATTTCTGACAATACATGTTCATCTACCCTTCTATACTTCGTCTATGCTTTGACTCACTCAGTTAAAACTCTCGAGACATTATTACCATGCTTATTCCAACTGTCAGCAGCTCTCACACCAGAGCACTTTTAGGCGGCCTACTCCTCTCCAGGCTGACACCCAGTATTTTCCAAAACCTGTCCATAGTATCAGTAGGGAGGGCAACACTTTAGGAACTGGACAGTAGTTATCAAAATGCAAAACTGGAAAAAAGTCACATGAAAACCACAAGTGCAGATCGATCACACAATTTTATTAGAGTCTTTTGAAGAAATGTATTCCTCTGTGAAAAACTCTTGCAAAAGAGACATTGGGGTAATACTATTTCCAACCCTGAGCAATAGTACTGCATACCAAGGGGGTGAGGCAAGAAGCTGGTTCCATTGAAACACAAGCACAGCCACTGATATGCTCTATGTGATCAGGTTTTTACAAAAAAATACATAGTTTTCAATAAATAATGCTTAATTTTACAACTTTGATACAGCAATGTCATACACTGTTTTAACACACGAAACTCTGCATGCTAGACAGGGTACAGAAGACGAAACTTTGCCATGCATTTTTTTCCCCTTAGTGCTATCAGACACACGTCATCCTCCAGCGCATGGCCTCGGGGAGCGGTCCCCTCTGTTTCACAGCCTTCAGGCATGCGCTGGCATGCAAACTCTAAAAAACGGTCCCCCCACAAACCACTCAGACTTCTAAACAAAAGGGCTTTTCAGCTTTCCTGCTCCCAAACCTGGAGTGGCTCTGAAAATACAGACGTGGACAGTGTCATGCTGGAAACATCAGGTGGCTCTGTCCTGGTGGCCTTCAGGAAGCACCGTGGAATGCCATCACCACTAGGAGTCCCAAACCGGAAAAGCAGGCCTCCCTCCTAAAACAGTCCATTCAAAAAAAGGTGTCACGGAACAAATGCCAAAGACTCTTAAACCCACCACATATGTACAAGAGTAAAAATAGACAAAATGGGAAATGAAGGGTAATGGCGTAAAATGTTTCGCCCGATGAGATTCAAGGGCATTGTTTCTGAACAGAAACTGGATGAAGAAAAATGTGTGAGGGTGCCCTTTGTCAATATATATTTGATCAAAATTCTTTACGTCGTATATTATCAGTATTTCCAGTTGTTCTTTTTTCTTTTTTCAAAGAGGGAATGTAATAGGTCTAATAAAATAAGGTAAGCATCAAAATCACTTCAAGGACCCTAGAGTACATTTTTTTTTAACACATTTTCACTTTTCATCATATTGCTTTATTGTGTCATTTTCACAGCAGAGAAAATCCACGTCTATGTGACTACGTAGAAGAAGTTTGATCAAACATTGAGAAGGAAGCCTCCATGGCTGCCCATCCAGGTTGTCTCAATTCATCGATTGCTCATGTCAAAACACATCTCGGCTCGACCATATTGCTCTTAGTGTTTCGTTTTCTCTACAGAGAAGTGATCCGTTTGCAACAGAAGTTCCCAAGTCATGTAAAACAGTCCTATCTGTGCACTGGCAGAGGTATTGAATCTTTTCAGAGTATCTCCACCCAATAAAATTATTACTTTTATACATGGAACACTATGAACTTATGTTTCCCTTTGTAAGCCATTGTATACTTTCTGCACTTTTGTGCTTTTATTGAGTATAAAAATAGGTCTCCTTTAAAATTCTGTTTAAGTTCACTAAAAAACTACTTGTTTGTGAAATTCTCTTAAAAACTCACTGCATCCACATGGAAGAGATAAAACTAATCAGGCAGCTAATTGATATAGGTAGTGTTAAAAAAATAACTACAGTGAAAAAAAAAAAAAAAGAACCTATGTTAGGATTCAAGAAAAAAGCCAGTAGCAAAGTAAAATGGAAGAGAGCTGAGTTTAATAAATTGTGTTTAATCTTTATTGTGATTGAAAATGTGGGCTCCACAGAAAGGGGGAGAAAAACGAGATGTTATCAAAGAGCAGTATTTGCCAGATCATCAAATAAAAGGGGATGTGGTAGAATAAATCCAATAAATGAACAGTGAGAAAGAACTAACGATGAAAATAAGCCAGATCTCTGAAAAGCACGTGTAAGAGTCATTACATGGAGACGTTACTTTGGGAGCTTGTGAATTCCCGTGTTGGATATATAAGGCTCAGTCTTGGTATCCTCACAGGCCTAGGCTATACAAAGGGTATTTGAAACTGACATTCCTAATGGAAATTTTATAAAATTTGGCCCTTACAATAACTGAGAAATATCCTGAAAAATCTTCCCTGAAGCTATAATAAAGAAAGTTTCTTATCTACTGATAAAATCGACAACTCAGTAAACTATTTTTGCTGGTCATCCTACATAAGAAAAAAGCACAAATATATTGGCCTCAGAAATCTGTTAAAAGCAGGGGACCACACAGTAAAAGAGTATAAAGATTCTATAAACGGGAGAGTCCAAGAAAACCTCTCCAAAGTGTTCACAAGGATACATATGCCCATTAGAAGAAAAAGTAAGAATATACATATTATTAATCATATCAGAGAATAAAAAAGTTAAGACTGATATAATATATTCATATTGAATGACTACTTTGAAAGAGAGCAACTTATTCGCTTTATTTCTCAGATTCCTTGGGCAAGTCATTTAAATTCTGAAGAGAAAAACAAATGTAAGTTTCTAGAACTATACCAATATCAAGTGATTCTGGTTTCAACTCCCAGAGATGGGAAAAACAAGTCTTGCTTTTTGAGTCTTTTTCTTTCTCAAAACAAACAAACAAACAACAAAAACCAACTAAATCCTCCTGACTGCTATAGGCATGCATATTCAAATCACTTCCCCTCCATTAACATTAAAAAGAAACATCTCTGCCCAAAATGGTTTTAATGACTTTTTTTTTCCAGCTAAAGGATATTCTTTCTACAAATAATTTGCCCTGTGACTGTAGTCATTCATAACATACATAACATTTGCAAAGCACAGTTTAAATACACTGCCTTCATTAGCATTATATTTTTTTAATAAAAGGGATGCATATCAGAGTGTAAGGACTGGAAGATTATTTCCACAGTTTAAAGAATTAATAAGAGAATGCTGGTTCAAGTTCTTAAAGATGGAAATTTTAGCAAAATGCCATCATAAGTCTGGGAACTACTTAGAAACAGCAGGGTACCCGCTGGCTAGGCTGCAGTGCACTCAGCGCCTCCCCGCCCCCGCCCCGTGTTACTATTTAAAAATATTCTGTCAATGCTTAGTTCAAAATAAGACTTACTTAAGAGACCAAAAAAATGCAATTAAACTTTTATTGAAGACTATCCAGTGGCAAGAATATACCTTGTGTATTATATTATGTTTCAGACATTCAATAAAGAATTCATTACGAATGACTTTCACAATGCATTCATCAAAACAGCCTTAAATATTGTTAAAAGCGCATTCAAGCGCCTGTCCTGAGTTCTAACAGGTTTTTAATTTTAGATCGCCGATCATCTGTTTTTCTCTTCTTTTACTATCAAGAACTTAGGCTACATAGCTTTTTAAAATTTTCTTCCAGACTATGTGTTTCCATTCTGAAGCCAAATCATTACATGTTACTAATTTACTTAAAGTTTCTACCTCACCACAGAAAATGTCCGATTCATCTATGATTGAAACATAAAATACATGCAACGTTTTCAGATTTTCAAAGTACATAGACTCAGTCTTATAAACGGGTTTGTGTTTTCAACAAGTTTTAGAACTGCAGCAGAGGGTCGCCACGTAAAATCCCCAGCACAGAGAAGTGTCAATTGTAAACCGCTGGTTCAATTATTCGTGGCTAAAATGAATGTCCCACCAACGACTACATCAGTCTATCATTTGTGGGGGGGGGGGGGGGGGAGAAAAAAAGGTAAACAATTCCAGAAATCCAGTTCTAATATTGAGAACCTTGTTAACACCCTCAGCACTTTCTCCTCCCAAGCGGTGTTCTACTGAAATCTGATGGTTCCTAGAAAGGAAAACAGCCACAGAAAAAAAATCTGTCCGTCTACTGCCAAAGCTTGCTGGCTTCGCATCGCAGGGGTGGGGTCTGGGGTGGAGGCTCGCGGCGAAGAGGAGCGAGGCTGCGGGAGGCCGAGCTGGGAGAGCAGGGGCCAAAGAGGCAGGGGAGCGGGGGAGCGAGGCCCGAAGGGCGCCGGGGACCCTCTGGCCTAACAGCTAGCGGTGGTGTGTGGCCGCTTCCCTTTGGTCTTGCCAAACCTCGGCAGAAATGGAGACCAAACCTTGGTAAATCAATTCAGTAGGTTACGAAGAGAGTTGTGATGATTTTGAACCGAGTTTTTCAATTAGCCACGGCAAGCGCCTGCGCTCGGAGAGGCAGAGCTGGAGGGCTGGCTCTCGGGGCCCTGCGCGGC